ATAGTCGAATCCGAGTCGAGATAAGGTCTGAGTCGGACAGACCCAACTATGAGACACAATGATATGTCATATGTGAGTCTCTAGTACAACATACATTCTATGTCCTAAGACCTGAGCTGACGCATGTACTCGGGATGGTGACAGACTTGCTTTGGGCCCACCAAATGCTACTCTGTGACTGGGTAGTTACAAAGGTAGGTTTCGGGTTTGTCCAGTCCCATGATGCGAGACATGGTCGACAAAGATGGGATTTGCCCCTCCGATCATGATAGATATACTCTGGGCCCCTCGTGTGATCCGACCAAGATAAGCATGGCCATGCGACAAGGATTATGAGATAATCCAGTTTGTAGTCGGTATCACTAGAATGAGAAAGTGGCTGGGCTAGCACAAGGATGACAGTCTCGCCTTGAGCCCGACAACACATATCGTGAGGCAAAGGGAACAGAAGTGTGACACGTTGTACAGGTTCGCCTAACCAGCTTCATAGTCTGCTTGGTGGTCGGCACGCCTTGCTAGAGGCCGCTACCAACCGTGCAGGTCAGAGGTGATCCGAACTGTGACCAAGCCGACTTGAACCTAAGGGGTCGCGCGCTTAAGGGAAGGAACCTACGAGGTCGGTTCAGAGGACACTGGTCGGATGTGATCCGAGCTGGACTTGGAATGCAACCGAGTAGACTTTGGGTTTTAGGATCCGTGCAAGGCCCAAGTGTTGAGCCCGCGACGGATGCCCATAAATAGTGGAGGTGCGGCACACTTATTCAGTTGATCGCTTCAGCGCCGTCGTTAGGGCTTTGCATATGTTGCAACTAGCCACCTCCACTCGCTGTCGGTTGTGTGATCGGACCTAGCAGTCCGCCGCACGACGTTCCTCCTGCACATGCGGATACCGTTAGAGGCGGTGTACTTCCGCTGCTCTGGCGAACCTGTTCGTGGGATCCGATCGGCTACGTGGGAGACCAGCAAGGAGGAGACGACTCCAGGAACGCGAGGTGACTCTGAGAACGCACTGCCTCAATTGTACTTCCGCTGCACGGCACTGCACGTCTAGTGTTAACGACCTGTGATCCATTCTCGTAGCATGTTCCTGGTTGTTCTGCGCGTAGGAAAATTTTGATTTGCAGTCGACGCACCCTACCGTAGATCACAACACCTTCTTGAAGAAGTTCTTTGTTTTCTTCTCGTCATCGGAGTTGTAGTTCTTGCTCTTGCTTTTGCCTTGATAGTTGCCTGAATCATATCTTCCACTAGCATGGATTTCTGCTTCCCAGAGAGGACAGTCCTAAATAGAGTGTCCAGGCTTTTTGCACTTGAAGCAGGTGTATTCTCCAGTAGGTTTTGATGAAGATTTTGAACCCCCGGAGTTGCTTGAGCTTCTTTTCTGGAACTGGCTCTTCTTGTGAAAGCGTTGGAATCTTTTCGTGATCAATGCGAGATCTTTACTGAGTCTTTCTTGGTCATTTCAATCTTCTTCGACATTTCCATCGGAGGAGGAATCAGTCACAACCTTGAGAGCATGATTTTTTCGTTGACTTGAGCCATACAAATCTCTTTTCTCTTCTTCCTCATCCTCGTGGGTGTTCAGTCTTTTCATGATATCAGCATAGTCGAGGTTTTTGAAATCAGCTCGTTCACGTATCATCAAAACAAGTGTGTCGAAAGTACTATCAAGAGATCGAAGCAGTTTCTTCACGACTTCATGGTCAGTGATGTCTTTGGCGCCGAGACCTTGAAGCTCATTTGCTATGTCACTCAGGCGATCAAAGGTTTGTTGACAGCTTTCATTTCCAGTGTGCTTGCATCGATTGAATTTGGCTCAAAGAGTTTCAATTCGAGCTTCTTTCTGAGATGAAACACCTTCATTTATCTTCTCGAGGACATCCCACAATTCCTTCGCAGTTTCACACTGGCGATAGCGAAGAAATTGCGCACGATTGAGATGGACACCAATCTCATCTTTGGCTTGAGCATCCAGCTGATTGAGCTTCTTCTCTTTGATAGTTGGGGCTTGAGGTACAACAATTGTGAGCCCGAACTGCACCACGCTCCACATATCATCATGTATTGCTCGGAGAAGGATCTTCATCTTCTCCTTCCAGAAGGGGTAGTCCGTCCCATTGAATATGGGAATCTTGAGACGCGATTTGTAGTTTAGTGAAGACATACTTAAACTTCAAAGTCGTTAGACTAAAATGAGCAGAGTCAAGGAATACCTGGCTCTGATAACAATTGTAGGAACAAAGTATGTCTACCAGAGGGAGGGTGAATGGGAGATTTAATTTCTCTTCGGAAAAATCAAAACTCTCAGAACCAAGCAGCGGAAACGAAAGAAAACCAAACTACAGTGAACTACAACTGAGTACCGAATGGAAACTAAACATGCATAAAAAATCACATGATGGAAATCATATCGAATGGAAACATGAGTAACAGAGATACCAGTGATGCTTGATGGCGACATGGAATTTGTTCGACCAGTTCGTCCTTCTGCACAAGGACTACGACAGGTTGGAGGGGTTGTGACTTAACACGGAAGATAAACTCTCTTCACCCTATTCTCCTCGACAATCGATTCGTCAACCGATGCCAATTACTCGTGGTAGATACTTGAAGGCGATCTCCGAACCTTTACAAACTTCTTCGAGAACCACAATCACTCTTGGTCTTGAAAGAAATTGACACCTAACTGTCTAGAGAGTTTGGAGCTCTCAAGAGTAATAGGCGGAGCGTATTAGACTTAGTTTCCAGTGATGCTGAACCACTATCTAATTCTTCGGCTCTAGGGGTTTTTCCCTCGGTGGAATTTAAACTCAAATCGCTCAGAGACTGGGTTGCTCAACAATCTCCTCATAATCAAATGGAGCAGCCACCGGAAAACGACAGCGCGGGGTGGTTATTTATAGTCGTAGCCTTCCCAGATGGGAAATGACCATTTTGGACACGCGGTCCAGCCAATGGCCAACCGACACGTTCACAACGGTCGGATTTCGGAGCAACGGTAACGTTACTTGAGGAAGTATTTGCTCGGAACACAAAGAGATTTCTCTCACAACTTTCATAGGATTTGGATTTAGCATCAGAGAATCAAAGTTTCGAACGCTACACCCCTCTTAATAGTACGGTGGTCCTATGACTCAACAGAAAGAAGAAGAAGAACGAAACAAATGCTACGTCTTCACTTCATCTTCATTCTCCTCGGACGCGGTCATTTTTCTTCGGACAGACACCGAACCAACTGCTTCACTTTAGCAATTTTTAGGGGTCGCTCTTGTTAACATCATCTTCGGTGATAACCTTCGCTGCAACACAGGGAAATTATCTTCGTCGTTTGCATCAAACTCCTCAATATCTCAGGGACCTGTTACTCTGTGTGCACTAGCAAACACATAGGTCCCATATTGTTTATGTCAACAAACTCCAAAACATAAGGGGTCTATCATTGCACCAACAAAAAACATGAAAGCAGATGAAGAAGTGCAAGACCAAGAAGGTAAGGAAGTGCTCCAGCCAGGAAGCCGGACACTATGACCAGGGTCCAAATTGAGAGCCCAAGAGACATTCATGGATACTCCAGGCCCCGAGCCTTCGCCGAGCCACTATCCATGACCGGAGCCTCTAGCCCCTTCGTCCAGACACTCTGAGCCCGAGAGTGACACCTCCATCAATCGACCACGCCAAGTCGAGCACGCTCGACCCAGCGGCCTATGCCTCGGGGCTAAATCACCTCGAGCATCCAGGGCATCAGTTCATGTACCTTTCCCTCCCCCGCTTACCCCTTTGTGGGAGACCAAATGTAGTTCACCCCTCCTCCTCTTTAGGATTAGGACTAAGCATAATTAAGATTGGATCGACAGCTTAGTTCCTCCTTACCTCTCCTAGTAGGATTCCTCTATGACAGAGAAGCTCCTCAGAGATCAAGACCTCCCTCGAGTGGAGACAACTCCACTGGAGTACAAGGCCACCCTTGTGGTGAAGATTCCTCTTGGAATATTAAGACCTCCATATCTTGATGAACTATCTTTCTTTGTTATTATTTCCCTTTGAATGTTGTGGATTCAATTGCACCTCTTGTATTGACTCCTGGATATGTGATGTGCTTCGTCTTCTGATTATTGTCCCTTTGGCATGGTTCTCCCTTGTTTCTCCTTGTGTCCATCCTTGAATCCACCTCCAGTTCAATAAGATTGGGGGATCCTCGCGGTTCTTCCCAAATCACAAAGGATAATCACCCCAAGCCCAGATCGTGCGAATATTCTACATGCCACAATGCAGTTGTTGTGTTCATCGAAAAAAAAAGTGTACCCTCTGGAAGGTGTCTTCACCACGTTGCAAATGAGAGCTAATCAAGTAACCATTCATACTCTATCAGTTGTCTCTCTATTTGTCTACTTCACTTTCACAGTCCAACAGAGATGAGCCAGCGGGGCACAAGCGATGTGTGCATGGCCAAAGTGTATATTATACAAACTCAAAAGTCTAGGTTAATTTGATCATCTGTCTCACCAAGTGTCTATTTTTGTGATGTGCATTGTCACGTGTAGTTGAACCTGTAAATTTGAGCTAGAGTGATGCAGCGTATGCAACCCTAGAAGTTTCACTTTAATTCCCTTGACTCATGTACGTAGTAGGCGTAGTACTGCTTAGTTACCACCTCATCTATTAACCGACCAGAAAAGTTTAGCAACGGGGTGCATGTAAAACAACATCTAATCAAGCAAAGCTAAGTCTGCGAAAGTTCTCATTTCTGAAAGAGCGACCCTGGAAGATCATACTACAAAACTTCTCCACGACAGCAGAAGTACCAACAAGATAGGCCAAAACACTGAAGGATACCACGAATTTGTGCCAAACTATCAATGGTACCCAAAATTTCTTTCAGAAGACATAACTACAGTTATCCCTTCGGAAGGCGATTTTCTGGATGTGGCGCATCTGGTCTTCAAAAGACTGCATCGGCCATTACGAGCACTGTGTGTCATTCCAGTGAAAATAATCTACTCCTAGTAAGATCCCGCTTTGCCTGCACAAGAAGAACAGACTGTTTATGCAGCTCATCCCACCAGGAATGAAGCAGATGAAACAAAATTATGCCGCGCAAAACTGCAAGCGAACCACCATAGAGAATAATTTAGCTTAAAACTGTTACGAAAAGAAAAGATGAAGCACAAGCATGGACAAATTCACAGATGCATTAAACCTTATTCACTTCCACCTGCAATATATGTTCGCTTTCTGCCAGCCACTAAGCACTGACACCGGCCCCTCTCCTCTGACCACAAAATTGTCTTTTGCTTGCTTTATCTATAAAGCGGGGGAATGCCTCTTTCAGCACTTGTCTTTTGCTTATCTTGAATAATACCATAAGTGAAAACAGAAAAGTAAAGTTGGAATTAGGCACTGCTACTCTGCCCTTTGCTATTTCGTATCATTGTTGATATGCATGGTGACAAACTTCCTGAACTATGTCTAACTGAAATAACAGTGATAGATTCTTCACCAAAAGTGCTCCCAAAACAGTGTACGGTTTAGATTTTCCTTTTCTAAAGGTCTAGAAATATTTGCAAAGTTGCATATCTATGGCCACGAAAATCAGCAACATTATCCAATATACAGAGTTCATCTAGTGGAAGAAAGAATAAACCAGTATCTGAATGGGAGAGGAACACTCGAATATCTATTGTAACCACTGAAAAGGTCATCTTACATTATGGGACAGAGGGAGTATATAGCAGCCCCACTTCTTCACTAGAAGCCACATAAAAGCATGGCACTATAATTTAGCCTAACTCGTGACATGGAGGAAAGTAAAAAAAAGCTGATGTGAAATGCACCAGAAATTTCTGGAAACGAAAAATGGAACGAAATTCTCAAAACCAATAGGTTGAGAAGTACCATGAGACCTAAAATTCAGATTCTTTACCTTTAAATATAACCTTCGCATGAGTTGAAGCTTTTTTGTACTTTTGTAACTTCTTCAGTGCACCCTCATTAGACGTTGCACATTCCTCATCATAACTAATGGATAATGTGCGAAGAAGCCTTGCTTTAGATAGAATAAGCTCCATGAAAGACATTTCATTTGAATGCCAGTGAATACCAGTCATCTTCACAAACTGAAGGTTGGCACACATGCCATCGGTACATTGTGCATCTTGAAACTCTCGATTTGCCTCAAATTTCTGCTCCTCGCCATAATAAATCTTAACAAATATAGGTAAGAAGTCATTCATTGGAAGTAATGATGACATCCTTCAAATACTGTGAATATAAATGATTCGACGTAAAACCAAACATTACCAGTATTTTGAGTCTTTCAAGGTTTGGAGCATTCCTTAGCAAGCAAAAGGTTGACAAAATTGAGGGAAGTTCACAGAAGTGTGTATACAGCGTCAAGTTCTTTAAGTTGACAAAGGTGCATGGAAGTTCCTCTAGCATATTAGCCCCATTTGACTGAAACAGATAAAAGCCATAATGTCAAAAGTTTGGAACTCAGTGCATATCCTTAATCGCTGAACGAATTTTGCATGCTTTACTCATGTCAGCAAAGCTACAGCCACAAGTCACAAAGGATGAACCCAGTTCGGGAATAACTAAAGGAGTTTAGGATGTTGCAATTTACAAAGGCTCTCAACCCCTTGAAACAAAAAGGTCAGTCCAAGTATTTTCTTTCTGGGAAAATGCCACATGATTATAAATATATACAACTCTGTGGCTAACGCAAAGAACATCAATAGGTGTAATTTCCAAGTTAAGTTTCAGACAAGTTGGTTTCTCACTAAATTTGGGGTTTGGGACGCAACACTACTTTGAGGTTGAATCCTGATTGTCCCTAGCAGATCAAATACTTGACAACAATCAAACAGAGGAGATAGATAAAATCCACTAAAATGTTCCACTAGGAAGGTAAGGCACAACAAAGATAAGAATTAGTGGTAATCTTTACATGGCCTAATCCTCAATGTTGTCTCTTGTCTGTAAGGAAATTTAATAACACATGAGTACTAAACTGAGCCCAGATGTTCATTATAAGAACAGATAAAGCGAGAGCATCTGGGTGTACCGGTGGATGACAAGTATATATGCAAAGCTCAGTAACGCTTGCAAGGCTGGAGATAAATTTGGAGAAATCACAGTCCCCACCTAGATAGTCCCATACATCAATTACAGCATAATCGAGGCGCGGAAGATCCCCAAGGTTCCAACCATAATCACAAGCCGAACAAATTTTGAGGAACCGGAGATTGGACGCCTGAATCACCCACTCTTTGAATCTGCCTCGGATATTCACATCCCAAAGTGTCAGTTCCTCGAGCGCTGGTGATGTTGCGATGATCTTCTCCAGCTGGTAATCCCCCTTCTTCTGTAACTGGACGTTGATGAGAGTAAAATTCCTTAGCTCCCGCAAACCATGGAAGCCCGGGGGTAGAGGGGCGGGATGGCGCATCTGAAGAGACTGAGGGAGGTGAGCCTGCCGCAGGTGAAGAGGGAGGAGGGGAGAGCCAGGAAGCCGTCGATGGAGCTGATGTGGAGGGTCTCGACGCCCCGACGGGAGAGGACGAGGAGCCAGTCATGTATGCGGGCTGCGTAGGGCTCGTCGAGGAAGACGCAGAAGCGCCGGACGCGGCCGGGGCAGCGGAGGAGGATGCCGTCGACGGCCCTCAGCCCCTTGGGCGCTCCCTCGTCGTCTTTTAGGTGGGGGAAGTGGAGGTCGAGGGATGGGAGGGCCTCCCATCGGTATCGCCAGGCGCGGGAGAGCGCCGACGTACGAACGGCGTCGCGGAGGTCGAGGCGGGTGAGGATGACGTCGAGGACGTCCGCGGGCAAGGAAATCAGGGCGTCCGCCTCCGCCGCGGCGACGTCAGTCAGCCGACGACGCTTCTTGCAACGGCGTCGTCGCGGGGGCGGCATCTCTCCGGTGATGGCGCGGCGGCGCGGTTCTAGGGTTTTCAGGGGCGGAGCGCCGCTTTGGGGTGGTCTGGAAATGCCGCGCTCTTTTCGTTGCGGCGGGCTTATTTGGCGCGTGACGAAGCGGGACCCAACACTCGTATACATTTCACACACACACACACACACACAAAAACTCGTGTACAGATCAAAGTTTAACGGGAATGTTCCCTAGGAAACGTTCACTAGGAAGTGGGAAGTGGGAACATGTGACATTTCAAACGTAACATGTGGCATTTCAAATGTTTTATGGCAACTTTAGGCGTGCGTGAGATGACAGTTTCTTTACAACGACATGACATTTTTTGGTAAGATGATAGTTTTCGAGATTTCATCCTAGAAAATGCAACGTCGCTCTGAAAAAACAGCCACCCCCTCAGAATTAAAAATGTCACCTACAACGGTCGCGTGTGCCACCCCTCCCTTGCGAACATTCGCCAGTTATGAGTGTTACATTTGATCATATGCAAATTTTCATTTGATTTATTGATCATGCCCTACTTTACTTAAATCAATTTTTAAGTCAGAAGAGCGAACATATGCCATGCGAAAAGACTATTTAAGTCCAGAGCCAATTTCATAGGGTATGTAGAACCGTGGGTCTCTTCCGATTTAAACGAATTTCAAATATATTTTTGTAGGGTTCCAACGTGCAGGGGAATTTTCCTGTAGTCTCTTCGTCAAAAGGAATAGACCGTCCAAAAATCTTACGGGTTAATTATCTACTCTACAATTCCATAGTATTCCTGTGAACTAAGCCTCTAGAATTTTTCTAAACATAACTACTAGTCCCTTCGTACCATAATATATGTCGTTTTAGCAGTTCAATTTGAGCTGCTAAAATGACATATATTATGGTACAGAGGGAGATAACACATGCACTCAACCTCTAGAAATTTTCAATGTTTGCCCTGTGGTGCAACAAAACAACTATTATTAGATAACCCAATTTTTTTCTCCCGTGTACAAACATATGTACAAGAATGAAAAGAAACCACATTTAGGAAATGTGCATATACAACACAACCCGGATCTTAAAAGAAACAAGGACACTGTGTTGCACAGTTTTTAACATCTATGCTCCCGTTAATTAAAGGGGGTTAACTAAAGGGGGTTACCACTGTCATTCAAATTATGTTATCATGGTTGCTTACGCAGGTAACAAATGGAATGCATTTTACCGAAAAAGAGTTTTCCCCCGCTTTGTATTCCAAAGCAACGAACACCATACACATAGTATTGCTGGGGCGAGCAGCACAACAAGCCCAAAAAAAAAAGAAAAGAATGCTAACAACGGCGGTTCGACAAAGCATGGATGAACCGCCACCGCTGCGCCCTCCGGAGACACACCACCACCGCCCGAGGCTCCGATCTGCCGCGTACCAAGCGGCACCTTCAAGAAGGAATGCGACGCCGACGACGCTGCCGCCCGGACAAGTCCTAGGGTTTCCCCCGGTACGAGGAGGGAAGTGGAGGATGGCTACCACCAACACCCTCCAAGAAGGAAAGGTGGCACCCGTCGGTGTCACCGCATCGGAGCCGGCCGAACCGGCAAGGATTTCTCCCGCACACCAACCCCACCGCCCAACCGGAGCCGACCAACCAAACCATCGCCCAACACCATGCGCCATTGCGGATGCGCCGCCACCCAAGTTGTCTCACTACGAGCACCAACACGAGGCCAAGAAGGCCGGAGAGAAGAGCCAAGCGACAGGAGCAGCAACGCCAAGGCCGAGCGGGAGGGAACCTCCTCCTCCGCCGTCGTGCGAGAGGCTCGCGCCTCCGGCACAGTCGCGGTTGCCGTCCGGACACGGCAGCGGGGCAAACCAGGCCACCCCAGGCCCGGCCAGGCCCTCAACGGGCCCGCTAAGCCCCGCCGGCCATGCTGCAGCAGGCTGGCGCCGGCGCAGCCAGCACCCCGCCGCTCAGCGCTGCTCCCCCGCCTCTTGGAAGAGTCGCCACGGATCAGCCCCGCCGCCGGCCCGCCCAGGCCCAGATGGGGCCCGTAGGGCCCAGATCTGGGCCAAGCGCCGCCGCCAGGACCCACCGCAGCACCGCCCCGCCGCCAACGACGCCGCCGCCGTCCAGCCGCCCGCCCGCGCCACGACAGGGAACCCCGCCGCCACCCGGTTCGTCGCCGCCTAGGAGCACCCCCCGGTGCAGCTCCGCCCCGCGCCGGAGAGCCACCGGGAGGGGAAGGTCAGGGGGCCGCCGCCACCAGCGACCCCGGGGCCAGGGCGGCCACGGGCGCCAGCGACGGCGGCAGGAGGAAGGGGAGAGGTGGGGACCGGAGGAGGGAGGCGGCGAAGCGTGGCCGGTCACCCGCGGGGGCGACGCGGTCGCGAGAGCGCGAGCGTGTGAGTGATTTGGATGGCCTCAATGGAATGCATTTTCAGAAATTACAAAGAGATAAACCTTAGTACCTTCAAAGGAAAAAGACAAACCTCGATGATAATAAATTACTATACTAGTCATTAGTCTTGAAGTACTGAAATGATAATGATGAAAGGGGTAGATCTCAAATGGTAAAAATGATTCACCCAAAAGAGGAGAACATGATGATCCAACCTGTTCATACTAATAGTAACATACAAGGCTACAAGCTGTTGCTTTTCTCCTGCTCCTTTTAATTTTTCCAAGGCATGTTGCTTCGCTAATGCTATGGGATGGGCAAAGGGATTTGTGCAACACAAGGCTATGAGTTTACTACTCCCTCCCTCCCATAATATAAGATGTTTTTGCAGTTCAAATTGAACTGCAAAAACGTCTTACATTATGGGACACAGGTAATACTGTTTGTCATTGCTACTATCCCACTCGTAAGCTCTTACAAACATTTTCTAAGCAAATTAAACTAATGGTGCACAGCAAGTTTTCATTGGAAAATCACATAGCAAGAGTTCTCTCTTAAGGAGAGTTTTGCAGGTCATACAAGACATAATTATGCGCCAAACGGAGCAGTAAAGTAGCTCATGACGACAACCATTTTCTTCAGGATACATATCTTTAACAGCCCAGCCGCCCAAGGTACATAGTTAGAGAAGATCAAGGGATAAACAGACACCGTCTTACGCAAGTGAGCCATCTGAACGTAATCAGCGCCCATTCCCAGAATTGCATGGAAGACACGTCTCTATCTAGCAGCTCATTTCATTTTACCTGCAAAAGGATAACAGCCACTTTCTGAATTTGTGCAACTCGTTGCAAGATATTAAGCAGGTGATAAAACAGGAGAAAACATAAACTTGAATAAACAACATACAAAGTAATAAAAACGAAGTAGCAGTACGTGTAATAATGAACAAATATGTAATGCATTCAGTGAAGCATGAAGATGAAACTCTCGATTCCCACTGTAATCGACAAGGTGTTGGATCACTATCAACTTTTTGTCCCATGAGATAAATCCATACTGCTTTAGCACAATGCTATCACTCTTTATCCCAATGTGCCTTACTCGAAAGCTAAATTATCACTAAGTGGTTTGTTCTGTGGCCAGTACTGATAATTTGCACTTAATGTTTTGTCCCTACCCTCCCTTCGTAAAGATTAAAGGGACGCTGCTAGAGTTAGGCGGCAACTAAGCTAAAGGCAGATAGTACAAAATTCATGTTCTGTTATGTGATGATAATGGAATCTGGCTACAAGGTAGTCGTTTAGAAAAATGATCAACGACTCAAGTTATCATCCTGTAAAGAAAACATGGGAGTCATGATCTTGTAAAGAAAACCTTGGGTATAGATCCAAACTCATTTTCAAGCTTTCCATGTTCACATGTGATTTCTCTTGACACAAGTGTTCATCCTATTTCCATCAATATTCCCTCCTCTCTGGTATAGACAATAATGGTAGCACATAATATATCAACCCAAGGGCCAATTAAGAATGTGAAACTTGTAAGACACTCCATATATTCTTCAACATAAATATAGGCTAAGGAATACAGATAATTACTGACTGAAGTTCAAGATTTTTTTTTACCGTCAAATTTTTTTTTTACCGTCAAAGAAGACTCGAGCATGGGTTGAAGCCCTTCTATATGTCATTAGTTCACAGAGTGCATCCTCATTTGACTTTGATCTTCTGCAACCAAGACTAAGATGCATTGTGCGAAGAACTGCTGCTTTAGATAAAACGAGCTCTATGAAATACATTTCATTTTGCAACCAGCCAATATTTTTCATTTTCACAGCCTGAAGGTTGGCACAGAAGGCATCAGTCCATTGTGTATTTAGAAACTCTGCATTTGTTTCAGGTGCATCCCCATCACCATAGGTCTTGTAAAATAAACAAAAAATGTTAAGCACCAAAAATAGCAATGATGACCTCTAAGCATAACTACAATAGTTTGCAAGGCGGTGTTCTTATTTCATACCGTAATTTCAAGTTCTTCTAAATTAGGAGTATTCCTTAGTACGCAAAAGGTTAACACAATGGAACGCATCTCATAAAAACGTGTCCAGAGGGTCAAACTCTTTAAGTTGTCAAAGGTAAATGGAAGTGTTTCCAAGAGACCGCCTCCAGTAGACTGTAAAAGAAACAAATATTAAGCATGTGAATCTCAATGCAAAATGTGGATCAGAACTATTCATAATTGGCACTTTTTATGGTAAGAACAGAAAATTACCGATGCGTAGCACGCACACAGAGAGAGAGAGAGCTTCCTAATTTGCGCAAAGCTGGCAAGAAATCCTCTGAAATTGATAGAGCTCACATAGTTTCCCACATCGATGTCGGCTTAATCGAGGTATGGCAGCTCCTTAACTTGCCAGTCATACTCAAAATCAGAATTTATCGTTAGGCTCCGGAGGTTGGCCCCGCGAATCACCCACACATTTGAGTATGGATCGTTCCCACGGATATCCACAAAGTGAAGATTCAGGGTTTCAAGCAAAGGTGACCCGACAAGAATCGCCTCCAGTTGGCTCTCCCCGTTCTCCAGGAATTCGACAAAGCTGAGTTTTAGATCCTTGAGCATGGGGAATCCAGTGAATCCCACCGGGAGAGGCGGCAGGCCGCAATGGCACAGCTTCAGGTGCGTGAGTTGGGCGCATAAGAAGAGGGAGGAGTGGAGGATGAAGGGGGAGGCGCATCGGAGGTTGATGGACTTGACGCCGCGGTCGCAGAGGGCGACGAGCCAGTCATCGACGCGGCCGAAGGAGTGCTCGTCGACGTGGAAGGAGAAGTTGGAGATGCGGCCGGGGTAGCGAGCGAGAACGCGGTCGACAGCCAAGGGGGCCGTGCCGGGGTTGTCGACGAAGGAGAGGCAGAGGTAGGGGAGGGCCTCCCACCGGCGGCGCCAGGCGCGAGAGAAGGCGGAGGTACGGACCGCGTCGGGGAGGTCGAGGCGGGTGAGGATGGCGTCGAGCAGGGGCGGCGGGAGGGACGTCAGCGGGTCCGCCGCCGGCTCGCCAACCCTAGCGCGGCGGGGCGAGGGCTCCGTTGTCATCGCCCCTCCGCCCTGTAGCCTTTGGTTCAGTGGCACAGTTCGCTCGATCGACGAGTGGATCGAACCAGGGGAGAAGGAAATGGAGTTACAAAATCATCCAGAGCAGTATGACGGGGTTAGGATCCTCTACAGTATGTGTTGTACAATCACTGCCATGTGGGACTTGGCCCTACATGTCATCGACACTACAGCACATACGGTACTGCAGAGGATCTTAACCTGTATGACGGGTGGGCTCAGACCTGGAAATGGAGAGGAAATATCATTGCCATTTGTCCAACTCTCAATCAAACATGTCAAATTTTCTTTAGAGAATTGAACATGTGACATTTTATCCGACACACTGGCTAATTGTACATGCTTGCGACGGGGCATACATATTTTAGTGGTTTAACAACAATCATGTCTAACATATACTTTACACCCACCATATTGTACATATTGTAGATTGTGGTGAGATTTGATTTGATTTGAGTATGGGTGGAGAAACACAATGGGAGTTTTGATATACTTGAGGTTTGATAAGATTTGATTAGATTTGATTGAGTTAATACATGACATGATTTTGGTAATATTTGATTGATTTCATGTAGGACATGGTTTCTAGTAGGATAAGAAAATGAATTACCGATTTGTTATAAATAGTTATTCCAAACAGGGGTGTGGGGACAAAAAATAATGAGGGGGTGGGGGAGGAGATGAGGAGAACATACTAACTCCCATTTAATAGTAGAGAAAAGAACATGACGCGTAAGAGGAACCCATGGAGGAAATTTTGTGGCGATGAGCCCGGGGACAACAACCTAACTGGGCTCTAAGATGGCCTCCTTGTGCAGTTTGACAACGAGTTGCAGCAGGAGTTCATCATATGGAGCTAGTTCGTTGGCTCTAATGCTCAGAAAAACAGAGTTTGAAAAGTAGAAGAATCTTGCACTGTTAGCTATCTCAAAGATAGCAACATATCAGCAGAAAAAATTAGAATACTATTAAAAAGATAAATAAGACAAATGATTTTGAATTATGCATGTTACAACCGCTTTATTATCTAACATCTTGTATCATTCATGGATGTGTTTCCGTGACCACGCATAAACATGTTCTTGAAGGTATGAAACCAAGACAAAGTAGCAACATTGATATAGGTATCCTCCGCAAGAAAAGCTCTTCTCCTCCTGTCGGCGCCGCCGCCGGTCTGTCCCATCTCCGATGGCCTCTACGCCATGGAGGTGCGGAGGATCTCGGCCCCCCGCCGGCGGGAGGGATCTCGTTCTCGTTCTTATTAGATTCGGCCTCTTGGTTGGGGCTGTGGGGCGATGGCGACGTCCCTTAGTAGGAATAATGTCTCCCATGCTCTATTCCTTTCCCGATGGTGCATCTAGCATCGTCGGAGGGCGTGTGGAGGTTTGTCTTCGTCGGATCTTGCGGGATTCGGTCGGTGATGGTCTTCGGTGGATCTATTTGGATCCAGTCTTCGTTTAGGAGTTTATAGGTTTGATCCTTCTGATCTACGACTTTCTTCATCGGCGATGGTTGCTACTCTGGTGCGCTGGTCCTATGGGCCTTAGCACGACGACTTCCCGACTGTCTACTACAACAAGGTTTGCCCGGCTCCGGTAAGGGAGCGCGATGACGGCGGCTCGCCTTCGGCTCGCTCCAGTGTTGGTAGTCGTCGCTAGGTGGTCCACAGACATGATTGTAATTTGTATTACCTCTTTTGTTCTTTGTACTGCCGTGATTGAATATGGATAGATTGGAAATTTCTGGCAAGAAAAACATTGATATAGGTACTCCACAATATGAATCCATAAAATTCTAAGAAAATAAAGTTGAGAAATCATGGAAGAGCATACGCTAGGAGCTTTCTCAAATATTAGAGTAGAACAAAATGATTGGGTATTGAAATATGACCTCAAAAATGTGTTTCCGTGCACAAGCACAAATAGTCCTGGGATCGCAACGGCTGTTATGTTTTCATGATAGCTTGTGCTATTGTGATGGTAGGTGGCCGTTGGTCAGATGACGACCCACATAGGTACATGATGGATCGGGCAAACATTCTGAGCCAAGATGAGTCATCTGGGCTAGGCTATCGGCGAACTCCACCCAGAACGGGAACCCGCGAGTCACATCCACATCCGAATCAATGGCGGCGAACATAGCAACCTATAGGCAAAATGAAATTAACATAGTTTGTTTGAACTATTCTTACTGGTCAACCACATTTGCATCACAATTTCAGAGGATAAATACTCTAGTTTTACACTTTTTTTTATTTTGCTAGCCACATGTCCCATGCGGTCTCTAGTTTTACACTTCATGCTTATTAACATTTGCATCAATGTAACTTTGGTTTATCTTATAATGGAGAGAATTAATTGATGGCATAATAATCTGAGAAATTGGAGCTTCGTGAACAAGTGCATTTTCAGAGGCCCAAAAACATACAACGAAAATATAATGATAAATCATACATAAAAAAAGGTCATGGGCCAACTAGTGGCCCTGGTGGGTCTGCGCCTAGTGTAGGTTCCTCCCCTCCTAGGGTGCCTACAAAAGGCACATATAGCCCACATGCACCCCTTGTTGCTCTCCCGGGTGTTTGTCTCTCCTCCGAGATGTGAACTTCATGTCAATATTTTCGGGAGTTTCTCCACCGCCTCTTAGAGGTAGGACCCTAGTTCTATTTTATGCAAGATCTACACCCTTTGACAGGGGGAATTTGAAGCAATCGTCATCACCAACTCTCGTGCATGAAGGGGAACCTCTTCATCTATGTCATCTTCATCATTCCCATCAACAATACCATTGCCCCATTTCCATCTCCATCCATTTTATGTACAATTGGTATGAATCAATTGTCGTTATCAGCTCTCGGTGTACATTGGTGTATTCATAGTTTATGTTGTGTGTTTCATTGGCGAAAGATCTTTACTTCCAGGTTGTCATATTTATCATTATACCTCTTAACATGTTCACCATGATGCTCCACGAGTAGTTCCATAGTGTTCTTGAGGACATGAGAGAAATCTAGTTTTAAGTGTCATATAAGTTACTGGATTATAACAGGAGGCGTGAATATATACCCTAAATGAGATGGCTATGGTTGGGCTTTATGCTTTAATAATTGTATTTTTTTATGCTTGCTGAGAGGATAATCATAAGTATGTGCGAGTCAATGGTTTTGCATCACATATAGTTAGGCTCTATCCACACAACATCGACCAAGCAACAATAATCATTGGAAATAATTATGGAATTAACAACTATGCAATATTCTCATTGTCCTCAAGAATGTTCGATCACCATAAGTAACACAATCGGCTTGTCCTTAGCCTTACTAAGGATTGGGACACTTGTTGTACTCTTTTAAAGTTGTGTTTAATTGCTACTGCACCATCACAAACTACAAAACGTCTACACCTTTTAGCATTTATAGTGAATCCTTGCCATTTTTGCACCTCACAATTCCTTCTGTTTCTCGTAGGATCGACATTTTTTACTTATCAAAAGGATTTACAATTCATCCGCCTACACTTGTGGGTTGTCACCCGCCAAGGGCCCACAAAACACTTACTAACCTATATCATCATGGTGTATGGACCATCAAGGTCAAGCCTCACACGTGATAGATCTTCAGAAAGTAGGCGATCTTTAATCCTAACAAATTTATTGGTTCCTTCACACCTTTAAGGCTCCCAACGACACCTAGCCGACCTAGGAGGCACATACTATCCAAAAGTAGCAATATAAGGTTGTTTGATGATGAATACCTTGCTTATGAGTAACGCCCCGGATACAACTTTCCATATTCGTAACTCCAACTCTTGTCTTTTCCGGAGATGCGATATGATATTTCCTTCGTGGTTGGGTTTTTGTCTTTAGTTTTGCATTTTGTTCATGTCATGCATTTCATCATCGCATCATCCGCATTGCATCCGCATGTTTTCATAAAACCTCGTAGTCGTTCGTAGTTACCGCTTCTCTCTTTGTCTTTGTTGACCTGTTGTCAGATCGCTTGTCCTTGTTTTCCCTCTCGTCTAAATGCCCACCCTCTCTGCACTTTGTTCAGACCCCTCCCGTGCGTACGAAACTTACCTTCTGTCGTTATCGATGGTTCCAGATCATCCCCAAACATCTCTAAAACATCTCCGTTTCATATTTAGACTTTCCTAACCTATCTTTTCTCGACCGTCGGATTTTGATCGGACGATCCAACTCCTCTCTTTTCCCCTTATATATATATATATATATATATATATATATATATATATATATATATATA